CGTTTTAGGGGGGCGTGGCAGAGTCTTAACTTTGATAAAGAATATCTCTTTGGTTTTGAGACTTTAGTCTTTGCAACTTTAGGGATCTTATCTATTCACGAACAGCTTGTAACACTCCAAAGAGAAAGGAAAACTTAACTCTTCACCTGAACAGTTTATGTTGTTCCTTGACCATCACAACATAGGGGTAGACATCACCTTTTCTGTGTTATCATGTTTGGTTCAGGAGATATGACACAAAATACATTATTTGGTTATGGCGGGAAGTTAAATGGTCGCCATGGCAACCACGAGGTGTTTTGCGAGGGCTCCATTTCTGAAAATGTTTAGGGCTGTAAACTACACAAGTGTACCAAGTTTCATGCTTTTATGAAAAAGTGAACATTACTTTCACATATCACCTGGACTATCTGTGATATTTTTCAGTTCATCTGAACGGATGCGCAGCGCACCTGTATTTGACGTACCGTAAACTCTAGTGTAACGGCGCACGACTCGCCATCGCTTTGGTGAGAGCAGAGAGAGAGTCTTACATACATGCAGAATTGACGCGCTACGTGTAAACGATATTCTTTGTTGTATTTTCCTGTCAAAATAACGGAGTTCCTTTGGATTTTTTCAGCTTTTAAAGGGGTCATATGATGCGATTTCAAGTTTTCCTTTCTCTTTGGAGTGTTACAAGCTGATTGTGCATAGATAAGATCCCTGAAGTTGCAAAGACTAAAGTCTCAAAACCAAAGAGATATTCTTTATCAAAGTTAAGACTCTGCCACGCCCCCCTAAAACGGCTCGTTCTAACACGCCCCACATATCTACCTCACTATGTGAAAATATCTGCGTAATGCCGCTCAAATGTGCACGCAAAGAAAGAAGGCATGGTTTCAGTAACCGCAGTTAGTGTTGAAGCAGCATGTCAGGGAGACGCTGTGTGTTTAAGTGCGAAAGCAAAAGCACTTTATTTGGATCACTTACAACAGAACAGCAATGCATTTTATGGACGACCGTTTCGTGAACCTAGGAGAGGAGGTAATTCTGACTTTGCTATGACAATCTGGCGCTTCTGAATCAGCTACTGTTTTGTTACTAGTTTAAGTATTTGCTATTGACTGTTCAAATGCGGAGTGTTGCGCATCGTGTGTGTGTGTGTGTGTGAGAGAGAGAGAGAGAGACAGGGTCACATCAAAGTGGAGTCAGCTGTCTTAACCACGGCTTGTGTACTGCATCATTACTGTGTCTGTCACGCGACTCTGTTCCCCTTTCGGGCTCTGTCTTTACATTTATTTTGAAAGATGAAGCTCGCGATTATGGTAAGGGGCGTTACATTTCCGACGAGTGCTTGCGGTGTTCGGCCAATCACAATGCACTGGGTCAGCTGGCCAATCAGAGCAGACTGCGCTTGTCGGAAGGAGGGACTTTGTAGAAAACGAAGCGTTTGAGAGAGGCGGGGCATAGAGGACCTACAATAATGTACAGTATTTGAAAAATAATGTGTTTTTTGAACATTAAAGCATGTCAACATATTCTGTTACACCAAATACACAAAATAAAGATCTTTACAAAAGCATCATATGACCCCTTTAAGAACTGCCGGGTTTTCCGATAGTGGGCGGAACTAATGCTCAAACTGCAATCTCATTGGCTGGTGCTCACCTATTATCATCCCTGTTTTGATTATCCAGAATGAATCCAGCAGCTCGTTAATCCTTAGTGCGTTTTATACTGTTCTTATTAGTAGAATTCATATTATTATTATTATTATCATCATCATCTTATCAGTATTATTGTTAGCTGTTTTACTTTTTTTTTTTTTTTACAGAAACCCTGAATGACCAACAAAGCACCACCACCAGTACTAAATTCAGTTAAAATGTCTATGCATTCATACATGGTTACCAAGTTTTAATTCTAATTACTAAAGTTCTATCATTAAATAATACTTGATTATTCTGATATCATATTATAATGCTTGACTGACTGATGTTAAGTGTGCTTTCAGATATTTAAAAAGCTGTGCCATTTTAAAAACATATACAGTATTATACAGTGTGTATGTATATGTATATGTATATATACACACACACACACACACACACACATATAGTATATCAGCCTGGCCAAATTTACTAGCCAATGGTGATTCAATTGCTAAGGTGTCCGTAGAGGGTTGGATACATTTCTCTGGTTATAGCAACTTGTAAAACGTACATAAATCAAGGCTTGTGCTACAGAGTTAAAAAGGTGCAGTATGTATAACTGTGTTACCTTTGAGCACACATAGATGTGTTTGGCTGTGGAATGGTTTCTCAGCCTGTCACAGAGCTGCTGCTGAGGCCGGCCACACAAACTTATCCACTTCATACACTTCTGCAGATTTCTGGCAGGTTTAGGGAACGGGTGAAACTGTATGTTGCCCAGCCTTTCTGGGTACCTGCTGTCTGCGTTGCAAGCCACATACGTGCACCTTTTCACCATTTTCCAAGTGAACAACCGACGTTAGTTTACTACGCCTAACATGCTTGTTGTCGGACTGTTTTGTTTGTCGGATTAAATGGCGGATAGCAACGGAGGCACATAACAACGCGTGACGATTGGTCAGATCGCCTGTCAATCAAACTGCCAGCAGCAGCCTATCCGTGACCGCGCTACATTTAAAGCTACATTTACCTTGAGTCCATACAAACAGCAACTTAATATAGTTCTGCAATACTAATACTAAAGTAAATTTAAGTAAACATTTTTATAACATGTTAACTTTATCGTCGAGCTTTTATCATAAACACACGATATCTGATCACTTTAACACTAGTTAAACAGAAAGAAAAAGACGAAAACGAAAGGTTTCCTGCTTTTGTCATTTTTTCACGTCAGCTTTTCGCTTGAAAGATTGGATCCAAACGCAAGAGGACAGCAGAGCATCAGTTACTGCCCTCATCACTGAAAAATAAGTCCTCTGAGCACAAAAAGCTCCAAAACTCAATTTTGTTTGAAATTAATTTTTAAATACTGTTAATAACAGTACCCGGTCAACAACACACATATATAAATAATTAAATAAATAAATCCATCCATCAATACACACATGCAGTACATCCAAAAATTAAATATAGCCGCATACTGCAGTCATCAGGCACCAATGGCAATTCAGTGGACAGCAATATGTTCAGTCATGTCTGGCAAGTGACAAATATGTATTCAATATCATTAGGACACATAAAAATTACGATAATAATTAATGATCAGTAAGCCTTAATTATGTCAAACTCTGTGAGTGTACCATGGATCTACATATGAATTCCAAAGCTTGCTTTATTGATTGAGAAGCTATTCAGCCATTTTACTCTGATACCAAATTATAGTGCTTCTCACACTTAATAGTTAACAATTAGTAGCTAAATAAATAATGAGATGGTGTGATATGCCATGAGGTTTAATTTTCCAAATTTTATTATTATGTACTGATATGGAAAACATGGATTTCAATTGAGTGTCCTTTCTTTTTCACATGACTATAAATATACATTTATACATACCTTACACACATAAATCTACAAATACACACTTACACTTATATGCATAGATACACTTATATACATAAACATACATTTACACTTATACACAAGAGGGTAAAATTAGGAGTTTACTAAGGCAAAACTCATAGTTAATAGTTAGTTAATAGTGAGAATTGGTCTCAAAACTAAAGTGTGACCTACACAAGCCTTACACTTACACATATAAATATAAATTGATTAATTTACACATGCATATACAAATGTGACTACACATGTACATACACCTTTGAAATCACACACAAAAATATTGTGTTATCGTGCGAAACTTTGCACACAAATGTTCCTCCCATATTATTTCCATTAAGGTTCTCAGAGGAACGCAATACTTTTGTGAGAGAACACAAAAGCATTGAAATGTACTTTTTACAGCCATCACTCTCTCAATTCGAACTTTTATTCTCATCAGAATTGAGTTCACAAATCTGCATTTATAAACTTGCAATTGCCATTGAAAAAAGTCTGAATTGTAAGATAAAATGTTGCAATTATTTCATTATTTTTTACAAGCTTCCATAAACTTTGTCTTGACTTTTTATAGTTATTATTTAAAGGGGTCATATGATGCTGCTAAAAAGAACATTATTTTGTGTATTTGGTGTAATGAAATGTGTTTATGCGGTTTAAGGTTCAAAAAACACATTATTTTCCACATACTGTACATTATTGTTTCTCCTCTATGCCCCGCCTTTCTGAAACGCGTCGATTTTTACAAACCTCATTGGTCTGAAAAGCGAGGTATGCTCTGATTGGCCAGCTATCCAGTGCATTATGATTGGCCGAGATATTGTCCTCTTTTGGAAGGCCAAACAAAGTAGTTTTGTTTTCACAACGAAGCACACAGTGCCTTCACAACATGGCAGCGGCGGCAACAATACTACAGCGAGAATAAAAGTTACGCCTTCTTTCTTTGCGTGAACATTTGGGCGGCGTTATGCAAATCTTCTCACATCGTGACGTAGACATGTGGGGTGTGTTAGAACGAGCCGTTTTAGGTAGGTGTGGCTGACTCTTAACTTTTATAAAGAATATCTCTTTGGATTTGAGACTTTAGTCTTTGCAAATTTATACAGATCTTCTTTATGCACCAAGAGCTTGTAACACTCCAAAGAGAAAGGAAAAATTGAAATCGCATCATATGACCCCTTTAAGAAAGAAAGAAGCTGTGAAGTGGTTTTGTATATATTATTTTATGATAATGGAAATCAACAGGATAGTTGCTGATCTAAGCTGGCTCAGCTAACTCCTCTGCTGCTTGAGCTTTCATAAGGTCAACTCCTACACTGTGTGTTGTCACAGCAGTTCCTGGACTGCATGCGGGTGGAGTAACAGGCCTGGAGGTTCTCTGATGTGAGGATCCGAAGGCTCAGCTGTCACTTCTGAGAGCCTCATGTCACTCTCACACCCTACTGGCTACAACGGAGTAAGCGAAGAGGTTAAATATAGCTCAGCAGCAGTGGAGCTGCACACAATCACTGATAGAGCAAGCATGTGCGGCGCTGCACCTCTTGTCCCTGGAATAGAATAACAGCTTCACTGTCCCCCTGTTTGTGACTCATTGATTTTACAGCCCGCCTAACCACTCAGTCATGCTTTCTTTCACTTGTTGACTCTTGGTTTGGAGCACCTGCTTCTCACTGGAGATCCTACAGAGGAAAGATCTTTGGATAATGGGTACCACTATCAGAAGAATGGTTCTGGAGTCTGTCTAAGCAGGAGCATACAGGAGTACACTAGCCCGAGGCTTAGGGACTGTGGGTAAGTGTTTCATTCAAGTGTTCTTGTTCTACGGGACTCCACTAATTGTTGTCACCACTTTATTAATAATTTACTAAAGATTGACACATGAGTGGAATATATATAATATATTGTGCAGTCTGTACTTTCTCCTAGACTCTCACACAAATTCCAGGCAACTGCAATACTTACATATGCAAGTGTGTCTTGAATTTGGACAGTAGTAAATTGCAAAGTAAAGCTATATATTGTATCATGTGACTGCGTACCATTCACTTTATAGAAGAAGTGCATTTCCAGTTGAAATATTTCAATTGCAGCATAAAAGTTACAGGTGCATCTCAATAAATTAGAATGTCGTGGAAAAGTTCATTTATTTCAGTAATTCAACTCAAATTGTGAAACTCGTGTATTAAATAAATTCAATGCACACAGACTGAAGTAGTTTAAGTCTTTGGTGGTCCCACATATGGGATTTAGAAGTTCGGTGACGTCACAACTGCCAAATTCAAACTGTGCTTTCCCGCATTAGCTGGCGCTGAGCTGGTTTTGGTTTACTCTATTCTGCTTCTTCAGGAGTTCAAGCACGTTGAGTTACAGTGGAATGTAACCTGTTAGAAAGGCATTCATGGCTATCACTTACATGTGTGGCTGCTGATATTCCCGAGACCGTAATTGTTATTTTTTATTCAGTAATTTTCAAGATGACTACACACCTTACAATTTTGAGTTGCAGGTCATGGCACATGCTGCAGTTATACTTACTGGTTTATACACTTCTGCTCATAAAATTGGAATAATTAAGATTTTTTAATGTAATTCTGACTTACAAGAACCAAGTCAGAATTGCAAAACCGTTATATTGTATAATATATAAAATTACATGATATTATATAAAAATATACAATATCAGCCAATTTAAATGTCCCCATTTATTACCATTCAAGTGGTTATTTACATTTATGTTCGCGCATTTAGAATATGCTTTTATTCAGAGTGACTTACATTACACTAAGGAATTCAAAGCAGTATTTTATCAGTTCATACATTCCCTGGGAATCGAACCCATGACTCTGACGTTGCAAGCGCTATGCTCTACAGTTTGAGTTACAGGATGGTAATATAGAAAATGTTCCTAAATGTAACTTTTCTTGAAATACAACATCACTTTTTTGTTAAGTGATTTTTGCACTGACCTTAACATTCTACCAAGCACGTTGAATAATCATTGCACGAAAAATATATATATTTTTTGTGGATAAGATCAGTTCAGCTGCATGTCATTTCCTCCCCAAAACTGCTCTGTGCACTTTTAAACACTCTGTAGACCAGTATTTGCATACATACTACAAGCTGAAATCCAATAAGACAACTGCTCCAACTGAACATAAGTTATGGATGGCTTATATAAATAGAAGCCGATGACTGTATACAGTAAGATGAACTGGGCAATATTTATTCATACAGTAATAGAAACTGATTGCAGATTATAAAATTATATAGAAGAGAATAATAAAACATAGATAATGTGCTTACTACCGTAATGTTTGTCTCTGCTTTACTGTTATCAGAGTGAAAGGTAACTACCATTACAGTTGATAGACTTTGACCTTCTTCCCTCCTCTGTGTCCATCAATCAGGTCATGTGTATTGTGTTACCTGACTGCAGTCTCCAACAAAAGTTGCAGTTTCTATTTTATATTCTAGATAGGTTTTGATTATGTTCCTTACATGGACACCTTTTAAAGCGAAGCAGGCACGCAAATCTGAGACTTCACCGTTTAGTTCACCGTGCATGTGTGCGGACTCCATGTCTTGCCAAAGCCACAATCGCAAATGCTACGACTCTCCTAGCCCTTATTTAGACACATTGGACCCATCATGTGATAGATCTTCTAAAACCTTTCTTCATTGGCAGCACAGGAATGCGCACTTTGGACAGCTGCTGGTACCAGCTGTGTCTCTTGGTTATCTTCAAGAGCAGACCAAATCAGGAGACAATAACAGCACCAGCTCAGCAAAGAATCAGGGATGTTCCATTGAGCACATTTGTCCTTAGTATGTACTTTAAAAATAGTTAAAATAAAATAGTAATCCTCTTTCCTCCCAAGTTTTTGAAAATAATTTTGAACATACACAAAAAATACAGTAAAACAGTAATATTATTAGGGCTGCCCTCGACTAAGGATTTTTCTGGTCGACTAGTAGTCGTTCATTTGAAGCATTAGCGACTAATCACACATTTATTATTAAACCATTAAATCATTATAACAACCCTCTACATTGCGAGTAAATCACTCGCATATGCGACTAAATCTTCACTCTGGGTGACTAAATTATGTCTAATATTAGCTAATGGCTAA